GCAGCAAGCTAGTCCTGAGCAAGGAAAAGTTGTATTTGATGAAAATTGGTTTGGACTTCCCTTTGATTTTTGGGTGGCGAGTGCTTGCAAGTGTAACTCACATACCTCCTGGATGTGGTTGCCTCTAGTAGCACTGAGATGACTTAGGCTGTGTCTAGACTACATCCCTCTTTCGACAGAGGGATGTAAATCAGACACTTCGAAATTGCAAATGAAATGGGGATTGAAATGTCCCACGCTTAATTTGCATAATCGTGTAATAGCACTCTTTCAAAAAAGCACCATTTCGAAAGTAAAACCATGGTCCAGATGCGGTTCTTTACAAAAATGGCAGGCTTTTTCGAAAGATCCTGTAGTCTAGACCGTGGTTTTTCTTTCGAAATGGTGCTTTTTTGAAAGAGTGCCATTATGCAATTATGCAAATGAAGCACGGGATATTTAAATCCCCACTTCATTTGCAATTTCAAAGTGTCTAATTTACATCCCTCTGTCAAAAGAGGGATATAGTCTAGACACATCCTTAGAGAGAAATTAGCTAAGGCTGTGGAATAGACTCACTAAAGTCAACATGCCTTTTAGCTCATGTAGCAGAGACTCATACACTAAGCTCTAGAGGCCCCAGGTTTGATCCTGCTGCCTGACGCCGAGGGTCTGTTGGTGTTACATAAGCACAGTGCAAGTGGTCTGCGGATTTTAGTCCTTTTTATAAAATATATGGGTGAAATGCTGGCCAAATTGAAATTAATGCCAAAACTGATATGGACTTCGAGAGGGAAGTATTTCACCTGCAAAATAAAAGTTGGTGGCACTGAACACTGATAGAGTATGCAGTCAGGCCCATGCAGAATGAGGAAGGGCTCCATAGGAACCCTCGTCACCTCATTTAGGCCTTTATCCTACTCTAGAGCTCGTCAACTTTTTTGGCTGAAATGTTTTTTGGGAGGTGATCATTATTTTGGGGTTGGAAGGTCAACAAAAAACTAAAAACCAAAATAGGGGAAGGGTGAAGTTCCCGTTTGTCTCAAGAAATGGAGAAACTCCCATAGATTATTTAGAAAAATAATGTTGAGGGGGAGAAATTACCTTTCCGTGGTGGTGTTGATTGACCAACTCTCAGGGCTGGCCCTACCATAAGGCGAACTAAGGCGGCCGCCTCAGGTGCCAGACTGTGCGGGGGGGCGCCAGTAGGATCCAGAGTGTAGAAAATCGTGCCTGCCGCTGGTGCATATGTAGGTAGCAGAGCAGTATCATGAGAGGAGTAGAACAGGAAGAAGGCAGAATTGAGACCTTTCAAAGTTTTGGCCCAAGCGAAGGGGAATGGGGGCGTCATTTGAGCTCCCCGCCTCAGGTGCCAAAATGTGGGTCAGCCCTGCCAACTCTATCCTGAACTACTGTCATCAATGAGATTCTGCCTTTCATTCCAACAGAGGCAGAATCAGGCTCTTCATTCACATCAGTTTGGCTCCCCCAATGTGGATGTGCAAAGAACACACTGTTTTCAGTTAACTCTAATTCTTTCGCCATCCAGCACTAGGGGCTCGTCTACACAACCTCTTTTTTGCAGAAGAGGCAATGCAAAAGAAGTGCTCATAAGCAACTGGTTGTGCTTCAGTTGCATATTCTCTTCTGATGCTTTTTGTGGAAGAGATTTTTTCACACACACAAAAAATCAGTGAAGACGGGTCCATTTTGCGCAAAAAAATTCTTTTGCACAAGAACCTGTAAACCACATTTTTTTAGGAATAAGGGTTCTTGCACAAAAAAGGGCTTTTGCGCAAAATGGACTTGTCTACACTGCTTTTTTTTTTTTTTTTTTTGCACAAAAACCACTTCTGCAAAAAGGATTGGAAGAGAATATGCAAATGAAGCACGAGAAGTTGCTAATGAGCACTTCATTTGCATTGCGTCTTCCGCAAAAAAAAGGCAGTGTAGACGTAGCACTAGTTTTCTGCAACTCCGAGAACCTGAAGTTGTCTGGTGCTGATTCCCAGGGTACTTTAGGATTGCATACCTTTAAGCACCTAAATAGCCCCATTGAATTCAATAGGCATTAGATTAATCCCTCAAGCAATTAGAAATGTATATGTTGTGAATTGTGCCTGAAATTGTGAATTGTGAATTGTGACTCAACCCATAAAATTAGAAGCTCAAGAGGAGCCTTTTTTCAAAATCAGGATCTACATGATCTATATTTAGCATGGTATTAAAACATATTAGTACTACTTTCGGAATGTGCATTTGCTCTGGGATTAAATGTTAATAGTATTCCAATCATTCCCAGTAACTACATTTTAATAGCAATGAATAATACACAGTCCAAGTAGTTTCAGTGAGTGGCAGTATAAATATATCAGCTGAAAATAATATTTTATTTCTTTTAAGGAAAGGTAATATAGAAAAAGTATTTTCATTACTTTTCTACCTAAACCCTAATGCACTGTAGTAAATACATCGAGCCGACCTAGCTGAGGACTGATTGCCTGCAACATACCATTTTAGATTACTATTTACCTGGAGATATTTTTAAATTGTGACCTACGGGAAAATACTAAAAATAGTGACAACTAGTATGTGTGTGCCAGGCCATAAATTAGTCTCCTGAATGCTTGAGGGTGAGTAGTGTGAGCACACACAACCCTTGTTAATGTTTGCTGGAGTTACACCCAAACACTGGAAGGAGAAACAGACTCTTATGCCCTGCAGGATTTGTACCTTTGGATTTTGGAAGCTAAAAAATAAAACCAAACTGAAACCTGAAATGAGGTATATTATTATGGTACCTTTAATCCAAAAAAGGAAAGCAAGACTAGTGAACAGTATTTCTTTGTTAATATAACATACATGAATGGAATGTGAAGGAAGAGTTTACTGATAAGCTTTCATTAATTAATTAAGCATTAATTTTTCTTGTTTTAGAGAATGGATGCATGCAGAGTTCTTTGCAATGTGATTTTGCTGATTAATTCTCCTCTGGTTGAATTAACAGGCACAAAACAAAATACTAATGCACAGCCCCCAAATGTTGATGCAATTCCAGATTCAGACTTTGCAGCTGACTCGTACAATCCTAGAGCTTTAAGATTTAAAATAGGCTCACCTGCCCTTTAGAGGAAATGCCACTGAACAGCAATGAGTTCTTGTAATCAATTAATTCTTTATAGGACCTTATGGATTTTATCTCAACAGTGGAAGAGAAATTTAGACCCAGATCCAAAAGTGTTGGGTGGCTGCATGTCTGTGATGGTTCAGACCAAAACCCCAGATATGAACCCTAGATAAGTCTGGATCTCCAGTTATAACAAAACACTGTATCTCTAATACTTTCTGATACACTGAAGTACACTGTATCTGGTGTACAAGAAACTTGCCCAGTGAAATATTAAATGGACAGAAAACACCAGTCCTCCAATCACTTGTCATAGTACAATGGGCCATATCCTGCTCCCAGTGAAGTCAGTGGGGCATTTGGGGAGCTGAATTGCATCCTCTATGGAAAAATGTCATCATAATGCTAAATATAGCTTGCTGTTCAAAACCATGCAGCCCCAAAAAGTTACTGGGAAAATAGACAGCTCCTTTGCAGGATGGGGTTCCAATGAGCATAGGACATGCAGATTAGCTCAGACATGGGATTAACTCTTTCTCCACCACTGACTACCATAAAGCACTGCTTGACCTAAAAGTATCCAAGAACTCAGAATGTATTTCATAAAGTCATAGAACACTAGAACTGGAAGGGACCTCGAGAGAGCATCAAGTCCAGTCCCCTGCCCTCATGGCAGGACTGTCTAGAGTAGACCATCCCCAATAGATGTCTATCCAACCTGATCTTAAATATCTCCAGTGATAACATGACAGGAAGTTTTTCCTAATGTCCAACTGAAACGTCCCTTGCTTCAATTTAAGCCCATTGCTTCTTCTCCTATCATCAGAAGCCAAGGAGAACAAATTTTCTCCCTCCTCCTTGTAACACCCTTTTAGCTCTTTCAGTTTATCTCTGAAGCCACCTATTTCTCTCTATCACCAGTTTCACAGTGCTGTATATACACCAGACATCAAACACCCTGTACACGAGTCACAAACACAATTAAATCAGTGTCCAATTTGGCAGGAGGAAAAAAAGAGGTTCCTTCAAGAGATCTGACCTGTTTTGCTGAAGACTCAACCCATTTAAATAAAAAACAGGAGAGAAAGAGGGAGGTGACCATAATAATAATAAAGCTACAGTCTTTTGTAGTAAGCTCAGAACCAGCGCTGCACCATTCTGAGCTGGGGAGAACTCTGAGGCTATGTCTATACTACAGGGTTTTTTCAGAAAAATGGCTGTTTTTCCAAAAAAATTGCAGAGTGTCCACACCTCAAGCGCATTTTTGCCCCCAAAAATCGAAAGAACAGAGAGGGGTTTTCCACAAAAAGGTGTGAGCTCTTTCTCAAAAAGTTGTGTATGGACGAGGAAAAGGGGGTGAGCATGCAGCAGACACTTGGAATCTCTCTGGGGTGCCAGCATTCCCCAGTCTGGTCAAGCTAGAAACATAGAGGTTAGAACACGGGTGAAATTTTACAAACCACTACATGGCTTGACAAAGAACAGGGAGATACACCAAGTACTTATTTCTCTGTAGGGCAAAGCCTGTAGTCTTTACATAGCCAAAATTCCCATGATGGCAAAGGATCTGCAGAAACCTCCACAAATCATCACTTTCACTATCAGCAAGCAACAAAAAAATAAATGCACTTGCTGGTTTGTTTCCTTTGCTTTTCTTTCCCTCATGGGCTCAGAGCCAATATTCTCAACATGAGGGTGTTTGTTTTGTTTTGCTTGCCCTTCTCTAGCCTTTTGCACCCCCTTTAACGTATACTTTTGAATGACACTATTTAGGTCCCATTTATTTAACTTGAAATTGGGTTGTGCGCGTCTGAAAAATTTTTAGTTACAGCCTGACACGGCTATCCCTCTGAGACCTTTAAATGCTGATAGTCTGGGTATGAGAGTCACTTACCTTCCACATCCATTGTGATAGGTTTCGAGTAGGCTGTGCCCAGGCTGTTCTTTGCAACACAGCGATAATGCCCCGCATCTTCTCTTTGAACGTTATGGATCCTTAAACTCCCCGACTCCAGAACAGCAATTCGAGCATTGTCCTTCCATGGATGGCAAGGGGGGAGTTGGGAAAGGAAAAAATTAATATACTTGTAACTTGTTAGGTCAAACAAATAGAAGCTTTCATTTACTACATGGACTGTCCTACAGAAACTAGAAGTGCTAGAAGTAATGCTTCCTTTGTATAAGAATTATTTGTACAGTCCTATGAATTAAGAACTAGAGTTGGTCCTCTAGGCCAGTAAGTTTAGTTTGTACTGTTCAAGTTATTCACTTAGCCACATTTTTGCAAATAAGTGAATAATTTAAAAAAGCTTGTGAATAAATATTTGCATAGAAGATCAGTTTGTTTTATTCACAATTAGATTCACAAACTCTTTTTGGCTGTACACATTGAATCTCCCTAGCCTGATACTCTCTGGTCCAGCAACATCCATGGTCCAGCATGATTTTAATTAGCTAGATGTCTACTTATCATGGGTGGCCAAGTTTCCAGAGGTCCAATAAGATTTGTTTATAGCCACTAGTCCTGACTCTCGGTGTTCTGTGCTGTTATTTAGCTCTAATTTACCTAATTAGAGAGACCAGTAAGCAGTGGAAGTGTTCGTAATGCTGCTAGACAATATTAACCTCCCTTGATTTGTCAAGTTCTCTGGTTCGATGCCAGACTAGAGGGGTTCAACATGTATTAGGCCAGATCTACTAGTAATTTGAAAATGAGATATAGCATTTTTTTTGAGAATTTCTCTCTGTAAGTAAAATTATCCCTAACCAAAACCTTTTGTCATTTACATGATGTCTGTATTTCTCTATATGTTTATCGAGTAGAACTGACAAGTGCTTGGATTGATGATGTATTTTTAGCATCTATGCTATATATTCATGTCATTCTGTACTCACTCTTAGAACAGTTTCTCCCTTGATCCATGAGACAGAAGGTTTGGGATTCCCCATTGTAGTGCAAGGGAGAACAGCCTTTAATCCTTCTATTACTTTTACATTTACAGGAGGACGAGTTATTTTAGGTTCTAAAAAAAAAGCCAAAATTAAATCTGAACAACAGACAATAAACACATTTCAAATATACTATTAAACAGACTCTTCCTCTCCATCCCTCTCTGCTTTCCTCTTCACACTAGCTAAGGTTTGATCCATGACTTTTTTTAAAATCTGACATTGTCTTTTCAGTTTAGAACATTGCAGGCATAATATTTCCATGAGCACAATATATTTCAGGTATTTACTGTAATAAGCTTCTTCAGATTTTTAGTCAGGGGGATCTGGCTACATGTGAATTCACATACCAGTGTGACCTGAAATGATAAACAAGACCCAGCCATCTGATTCACACAAAGGTTGTTAAAGTGGATGCAGGTGCTCAGATTTCTTTGCGGTCAGTTTTAAAAAAAAATTGAACCTGCCATTGTAGGGGCTTCAGAATGGTGAGTTATGCCATTTAGAGGGGAATATGGCCACTCCTGTGTCCATCTGCAGTGGGTGGAAAGATTGTCATCACATTGCTGTTGAGCTGGGGAGCTTCACCCAAATAGTAGAGGCATCCTTCCCTCCACTGGGGATGAATTTTAAGATTAGGGAGTTGCTGAGGATTATTAATCTCCATAGCGAAAAATGTCAGCTGGAAGGAGGATGGGAGAATAGCCTTTTTGGTCGGTGAAGTATTATAAGAGTCTTACGCAGATGTCCATCAGGAAAGATAAACCTGCCCTACCTTACGGTTTTGAGAGTCACAAGGAACGTAGCATTATAATTAAATTTGGTGCATAAAGCTTGAATAGCTAATTGTTTTTCTCTCGCATTCCCGTTCAGGTACTGTAAAGATTTCTAGTATTTTCTGTATATAGCTGGGGGGATGTATTAAGGATTGAATAGTCAGAACAAGAACATGGTCAACAAATTTGCATAAACAAAGACCCAAATATGGTCCCTTCCATGCATGAAACACTGACTGCATTTGCCAGATGTAGAAACGCTATGCAAAACCAGATGTGTTCATACAGACATACAAAAACGTACATCCAGTATACTTTAAATTGCCCTTATTGTGCAAAAGTGGACCATGTTCCCAAATAGCAGCAGAATGGAGACCTAAGTGCCTGCTAGATTAATTCACAAAGTGAGACAAGCTTTTATTGTCCACTCAGTGATACCCCCCCCCCCACACACACACACTTACTCATTTTCACCTGTAAAGCCCCACAGCTTTTTGCAGGCACTCCAACTCCATTGTCAGCAGAGCAGCAGTACACTCCATCGTCTTTGTCCTCTACGCTAAGAATGGTCAGGAGCTGCCCGTTTTCTTGTATGCTATACCGCATATCAAACAGCCTGCAGGATACAGTGACATGGTAACAAGAGCATGAGGTGCACAGTGTAAATCAGGACTCATTACAAGTTTTGCTTTTTTCTCATCATTTCTCAATTGGTGACATGTTTCAGTGTTTAGTGACACCAGTTTTAGTAGCAGTTCTGAACAGTCTTCTTTCTATCTAATCTGTGGTATTTATTCGGGCAGTCGATTTAACTGCAGTTAACTCACATGATTAGTTTAAAAAATGAATTGCACAGTTAAACAATAGAGCACCAATTGAAATTTATTAATTTTGAATATTTTTCTCCATTTTCAAATATATTGATTTCTATTACAACACAGAATACAAACAGTAATGTGCTCCTTTTATATTATTATTACTAATGTTTGCACTGTAGAAATAATAGACAAGAAATAGTATTTTTCAGTTCACCTCGAACAAATACTGTGCTGCAATCCTTTTATCGTGAAAATTTAACTTAATAATTTTTGTTGTTCCATAACTGCACTCAAAACCAAAACAATGTAAAACCAAAGCCTACAACTTCATTCAGTTTTACTTCTTGTTCAGCCACTTGCTAAGACAAAGAAGTTTGTTTACATTGATGGGTGGTACTGCTGCCTGCTTCTTATTTAAAACTAGAAGACTTACCCAGTGTTGCCAGGGTCCTTCAGGGCAGGGAGCTGGCAGTGTGGGGGTGCAGTAGTCAGGGCAGGACTTGGGGATGTGAGGGACTCAGGGCAGGAGGCTAGAGGTGTGGGGGGGTTGAGGAAATTTTTGTGAAAACATGTTTGTTTTGTTAAAAAAAAACCAATGGGTATTGATCAAGAAAAAGTCAAGCCATTTTAAGATTTTGGCATCCAAAACAGTTTTTGTTTTGTTTTGAAACAGAGAAAAATTGGGGGAGGGGGGGGAATGTAATTTGTCATGAGAAAAAATGTACCATCCAGCTCTGGCCCACCTGCCATAGAGAAGGAAATAAAATTCCTCAGGGCTCCACAAAGCTGTGAAGAGTTTTGTGTCCTGGAAGGGGAAAGTAGCCTGCTACTCTAAGTATTGCTGAATTGTGTAACAATGAAAAATTCTTAGGGGAGAAGAAGGGGCACTTTTGCAAATCTGAAAAATAAAACAATTTTTGGAGTCCGTTTCATGGTGCAAGATTTTTCCTGCTTGCGTCAAATATCGTATCTCCATCAGATTCTGAGTGTTACATCTTTTTGTGACTGTTTACAACTGCACTCATGAAAGTAGCCTTAAGCTCTGACAAATGTTACTGAAATGAGGGATGAGTCTTCCTTGAACATTCAACCCTCCAAAAGACTTATTTGCTGTTTTTTAGTAATAAAACATTTTGCACTATAAGTCTAAATTCCTCATTTAAGATTCTATAGGCTCAGCTTTCCAAAGTGAAGTTAGATACCTCTAAACACACCTTTCAGCAAAAGGAGCCATATCTGCTCTCAATTGCTCCTGTAGGTTTGTCTACAATGGCAAGTTACTATACTGTAACTTTCTCACACCGGGGTGTGAAAAAATCCTCCCACCCTGAGCCCAGCAAGTTAAAGTACTGGAAAGCGCCAGTGTAAACAGGCTCCCAATGCTGTAAGCTACTCCCCTCACGGAGGTGGTTTACCTAAAGCATTGGGAGATCTCCCTATGCTGTGTAACTCCATTGAAGTGAAGGAAGTGAGTGAAATCTGGACCCCCAATGTAGCCAATAGGAAATTTACTATAGATTTCAAAGGGATCAAGGTTTGATACTTCATGTTGTGTAAGACCCTGATTCTGTATTTACTGATGTCAGCCTAAGCACTGCCATTTATTTCTAAATGAGATCAAAATAAAAACCCAGTTTAGCAATAGCATTCAGGAGATATATTTGGGATGGCTGTCATTGGTATGATATGATATTTGATATGATAATCATTGATTTTTTTATAATATTTTCCTTCATGTACTGCTTTCCTTATGGCTATCCAAGGACACTGGTACATCACAGATTTTTGTACTTAAATAAAAATAATAATTGCTCATACAGTGCCATTGATTCACAGCTCAACAGAAGAGCAGTATGGCAGGAGAGCTGTGTTGAGCAAATAATCAAACCCCTATTCTGGGAGCTTAAAATCGGCAGGCAAAAGCTGCTCCCATACGGGACAGGAAATACAAAGTAAGGATGTTAAATATAGGCTAACTGAATAGTTGAGTAACCTCATGGATTTTTATTGGTTACTCGACTAGTCTATAGTCTCTGGGGGTGGGGCTGGCCGCCCCGTGCTGCTACCTCTGTATCAGAGTCAGCAGCGCAGGGCGCCAGGTAGGAGCTGATCTGTGAGGGGAGCCAGTTTGAAAAACAGCTCACCTTGCAGGCTGGCTGCCTGTTGTCCCGCACTGCTGCCTCTGATACCAGAACTGAGCTGGGCTGCCTGCCTGCCTGGCTCCTAATGCACTTTAAATGCAGAGACACAGTGGGGGTAGATCCCAGACCCGGCGTGAGCCAGGACTGAGCTGGACTGCCTTCCAGTCTACTAAAACATTTACTGGCAAGGGAGTGGAGGGGGGGAGGGGGAAATGCATGTAGTCTGTAGCATTAACCTATAAGTGTTTGCTTATCGGTTAATCAACGAATCCCTAATACATAGCTGAAACAGCACATAGCCTGATACAATCAGCCCAGATGCATTGTAGAATAGGTGTGTGATTTGGTGTATTTGTTTTGGAGACTGCACCCGCCGTAGTGGAAGATGTTGTGAGGCTAAAGCAGTACTTTTCAGGGAGAGCCATTTCCTCAAACTAAGTTTTGCAGTATGATCTATATGCTGGCCAAATACATGTCATGAATAGCTACACTTCAGTGGGTTTACTGAGAATTAGACATGTTACCAGAACTGCCTTGCCAGAGTTATAAAACTATCTTGGCTGTCTGAGTACTAGGAAAGCTTCCACACTACTGTTTAGGTTGGACAATGGAGCAGGAGGTGAGAAAATGGAAACTTTTTATGGTTTTCTGGAAAGTTTTTATTTTATTTAAATAAACCATTGTAGCACACGTTGCCATGCTCATAACTGCCAATAAATGGTTTCAGGTTCCCAATTAGCTGCCTTTTCTCTTTCTCCCCAGGAAAACGTAGGCGTTTACAAAGTAAAGTGAAAGATACAAATGCCCAGGAAGGACAGTTTAATGGCTAAAGTGCAGAAATAAGAGTCAGGAGCTCTGTTTCTGTCTGCCTGACGCTGATTTCCTAGGTGACTTCAAGCAAGTCATGTAGACCTAGATCCTCAAAGATCATTAGGCACCTATCTTCCATTTGAAATCAATTGAAAGCACCTAAATGCCTTTGAGGATGGTGGCTTTATTCTCTAATTTTCAAAGACATGATTTTTAGAGGTGTTGAATAGCCACAACTCCATTGAGTGCTCAACTGTTCCTCTGATAATTGGGGGGCTGCAGGAGAGCTTCCACCCCCAGAAGCCCGCAGAGCCAGCCCAGTCCTCCCCATCGGGGGCTCGTACCCCATTCCTCCCTCACCTCCTTCCACTTACCCTTCCCTAGCCCCCCTTCTTATTGATGTACAAAATAAAGATAACGTTTCTTCCAACATTGACTCTGTCTTTATTGAAAAAAACTGGGGGAGACTGGGAAAAGGAGGTGGGAGAGGGGAAGAGAAAGGCTGGGAGAAGGGAGGGCAACTAACATGATCAGGGGTTGGGAACAGGTCCCAGATGAAGAGAGGCTACAGAGACTGGGACTGTTCAGCTTAGAAAAGAGGAGACGGAGGGGGGACAGGATAGAGGTCTCTAAAAGCAGGGGTTGGGTGGAGAGGGTGCATTCAGAAAAGTTCTTCATGAGTTCCCATAAAGAAGGACTAGAGGACACCAAAGGAAAGGAATGGGTAGCAGGCTTGAAACTAGTAAGAGAAAGTTGTTCTTCTTGACAAAGCAAATAGTTAACCTGTGGAACTCCTTGCTGCAGGAGGCTGTGAAGGCTACAACTAGAACAGAGTTTAAAGGGAAGTGAGATCAAGTCATGGAGGTTGGGTCCATGGAGTCCTATTAGCCAGAGGGTAGGAGTGGTGTCCCTGCCCAAAGTTTGTGGAAGGCTGGAGAGGGATGGCACGAGACAAATGGCTTGGTCACTGTCTTCGGTCCATCCCCTCCAGGGTCCCTAGGGTTGGCCGCTGTCGGCAGACAGGCTACTGGGCTAGATGGACCTTTGGTCTGACCCAGGACGGCCATTGTAAGCTCAGGGCTCAGGGTCGGGGGTCTCAGTGGACCCCCTTGATTTTCATGCACACCTGGTCCTGGGTGGCCAGGCTGGCAGCCCTCCTGCCCTAGACGGCCACTTTCCTGTGCCTAGTGCAGAGATCGTGGACGAGGTCCAAGATGTCTGCACTAGCCCAGGAAGGTGCCCGCCTCTTGCGGTCCCGGGCAAGCTCCCGGGAGCCGCCAGCCTGGTCCCGGGCAGAGGGGGCGGGCTGGGGGGCATCGGGTGAGTGGCTCCAGCCGGGGCCCGGGCCAGGCGTCGCGGCGCGGTCCCGGGGCCGGGAAGGGGGCATAGAGTTTCCCTGGTGTTGGCCAGAGTGGCCACCAGGGAAACCTGGGGAGGGCTAGCCTCCCACTAGTTCGAATTAAGGGGCTACACACCCCTTAATTCGAACTAGCTAGTTCGAACTAGGCTTAATCCTCGTAAAATGAGGTTTACCTAGTTCGAACTAAGCACTCCGCTAGTTCGATTCAAATTCGAACTAGCGGAGCGCTAGTGTAGCGCCTATTAGCCAGAGTGGCCACCAGGGAAACCTGGGGAGGGCTAGCCTCCCACTAGTTCGAATTAAGGGGCTACACACCCCTTAATTCGAACTAGCTAGTTCGAACTAGGCTTAATCCTCGTAAAATGAGGTTTACCTAGTTCGAACTAAGCACTCCGCTAGTTCGATTCAAATTCGAACTAGCGGAGCGCTAGTGTAGCGCCTATTAAAGTTAGTTCGAACTAACTTTGTAGTGTAGACATACCCTGAGAGATTTGCCCCAGGTCCCTAACTAGCCCCCTCAAGGATTGAGCTCACAATCCTGGATTTAGCATGCCAATGCTCAAATCACTGAGCTAGTTTTCCCCCAGGGTGTAGAGACTAAAAGCCACCCTGATTTGTGCACAAAATCTGGCAAGCACTGGTGCAGGTAGATGTCTGCAAAGATATTTAATGGAGATATGGCTCCAGGAACCTGGATAACAACCCTACGAAGCATATATAAATACCTTTATTTGCCCCATCTGTTCCACAAAGTGGAATAGCGTACTCAGCTACCATGCACGGAGCATTCCTTAAAAACACCCGCTAATACATCCCATCTGTGCTGATTTCTAACATACAGAACCCCTGCACATGTGTTTCTGTTCACATCTCTCCCCGTGAGAGACTTTCACCAAAATGCACTAAGGCAGTTTCTTTCTGCTATCACAAACCTCTTGTTTCGTGGGAAAACACGTGATTCTCCTGCCAAACAATCTGATCCAATATTTTGTTTAGAATCACAACAGGTAACATCATTTATTTCCCGCTTACAGGATCACATCTTGTGACACTGCTGTTCTATCAAGGACATGCTAAAGGGGAACATACTTGACTCTCTGCTAGTACTTTTCATCTATAGTTTTCAACTCAACCCTCCACATTTTACACCCTGCTGTGTTCCTCAGTGTTACATTTTAGCAGAGCTGGTAGGAAATCAGAATTTCCATCCTGCAGAAAATTCTTGTATTACAAAATTTGTTTTAATCCCAACTTGAGGTAAGAAGTCAAAAAAGCCACACCTTTCATGCTATGGAAATAGCCTAGAAATTTTGATTCAAAACATTTTGTTTCAACACTCCCTACCAAATGAAATGTTGTGACATTCTAGAATCAAAATGTTTCAGTTTGAATGGTTGAACTGAATTGACGCTGAGTTTTGGTTTGATTCTACATTAATCTGCATCCCCTTGGGTATGTCTAGACTATATGCCTCTGACAACAGAGGCATGTAAAATAGGCTACCCAACATAGTCAATAAAGCGGGGATTTAAATATCCTTGGCTTCATTAAAATAAAAATGGCCACTGCGCTGTGCCGGCTCAGCTGATTGTTGGCACAGCGCAGCAGTCAACACGCAGATCAGTCGACAGGGGAAGCCTTTGTCGACCTCTCCTGTTGGCCAACATGGAAAGGAGCAGAACAATGATCTCATTTCTGCCATGTACCTTTTGGGGTTTCTAGCACCATCATCACGAGGCATAAGGGAGTGGTCGACAAAGGCTTTCCCTGTCAACTGATCCGCATCTTGACTGCCGCACTGTGCCGACAATCAGCTGAGCCGGCACAGCGCAGTGGCCATTTTTATTTTAATGAAGCTGGGGATATTTAAATCCCCGCTTCATTGAATATGTTGGGTGCTATCAAATCCCCCCTCACTCTTCTCTTCTGCAGACTAAACAAACCCAAATCCCTCAGTCTCTCCTCATAGGTCATACGCTCCAGCCCCCTAATCATTTTGGTTGCCCTCTGCTGGACCCTCTCCAATGCGTCCACATCCTTTCTATAGTGGGGGGCCCAGAACTGGACACAATAGTCCAGATGTGGCCTCACCAGAGCCGAATAAAGGGGAATAATCACTTCTCTGGATCTGCTGGCAATGCTCCTCCTAATGCACCCTAATATGCCATTAGCCTTCCTGGCTCCAAGGGCACACTGTTGACTCATATCCAGCTTCTCATCCACTGGAATCCCAGGTCCTTTTCTGCTGAACTGCTACTTAGCAATGCTTGAAACAATGCTTGGGAGTCTTCCGTCCCAAGTGCAGGTCTCTACTCTTGTCCTTGTTGAACCTCATCAGATTTCTTTTGGCCCAATCCTCTAATCTGTCTAGCTCACTTTGGACCCTATCCCTGCCCTCCAGCGTATCTACCTCTCCCCCTAGCTTAGGGTACGTCTAGACTATATGCCTCTGTCACCTCAGCATGCCTCAGCGCGATAGTCTGGATGCGCAGGTGTCGACACCAAAGGTATTTGTCGACCACCCAGGTAAACCTCACCCCAGGAGGCTTACCTGGGTGGTTGACAAATACCTTTGATGTCGACACCCGCGCGTCCAGACTATCGCGCTGAGCCGACAACCAGCTGACCAGCTGTTTGTCGGCTCCGCATAGCAGCCATGTAAATTTAAATGAAGCGGCGATTATTTAAATCAGTCTGTAACAATGCGTGGGATTCTTCCGTCCCAAGTGCAGGGCTCTACACTTGTCCCTGTTGAACCTGATCAGATTTCTTTTGGCCCAATCCTCTACTCTGTCCAGGTCACTCTGTCCTCCAGCGTATCTATCTCTCCCCCTAGCTTAGTGTCATCTGCAAACTTGCTGAGGGTGCAATCCATTCCCTCATCCAGGTCATTAATAAAGATGCTGAACAAAACCAGTCCAAGAACAGATCCTTGGAGCATTCTGCTAGAAACCGACCGCCAACCTGACATCGAGCCGTTGATCACTATCCATTGGGCTTGAGAGTCTAGCCAGATTTCTATCCATCTTACAGTTCATTTATCCAATTCATACTCCTTAACTTGCTGGCAAGAATATTGTGGAAGATCATATCAAAAGCATTGCTAAAGTCAAGATACATCACAACCACTAACTTTCCCATATCCATAGAGCCAGTTACTCATCACAGAAGCTAATCAGATTGGTCAGGCACAACTTGCCCTTTGTGAATCCATGTTGACTATTCCCGATCACTTTCCCCTCTTCTAAGTGCCTCAAAATGGATTCCTTGAGGATCCCCTCCATAATTTTTCCAGGGACTGAGGTAAGGCTGACGGGTCTGTAGTTCCCTGATTGTCCTCCTTCCCTTTTTTAAAGATGGGCACTACATTTGCCTTTTTCCAATCATCCGGGATCTCTCCCAATCTCCATGAGTTTTCAAAGATAATGGCCAAAGGCTCCACAATGACATTTGCCAAGTTCCTCAGTACCCTTGGATGCATTAAATCCGGGCCCATGGATTTGTGTATGTTTAGCTTTTCTAAAGTTCCTAACTTGTTCTTTCCCCACCATGGGCTGTCCACCCATACTGCGTTGCCTAGTACATTAGTCTGGAAACTGACCTTCTCCGTGAAGACAGGGGCAAAGAAAGCATTAAGTACTTCAGCTTTTCCCACATCACCTGTCACTAGGTTACCTCCTTCATCCAGTAAGGGCCCCGCAGCCTCTCTGATCACCCACTTCTTGCTAACATGCCTATAGAAACCTTTCTTGTTATCCTTCACATCCCTTGCTAGCTGCAATTCCAGTTGTGCTTTCACCTTCCTGATAACTCCCCTGCATTCTCGAGCAATATATTTATGCTCTTCCCTAGTTATCTGTCCAAGTTTCCACTTCTTGTAAGCTTCATTTTTGTGTTTAAGCTCACCCAGGATTTCCCCAGTAAGCCAATCTGGTCGCCTACCATATTTGCTTTTCTTGTTGTGCATTGGGATGGTCTCTTCCTGTGCCTTTAATAAGGCTTCTTTAAAATACTGCCAGCTCTCCTGGACTCCTTTCCCCTTCATGTAAGCATCCCAGGGAATCCTGCCCATCAGTTCTCTGAGGAAGTCAAAGTCTGCTCTTCTGAAGTTCAGGATGTGTATTTTGCTACTCTCCTTTCTTCCTTTGGTCAGGATCCTGAAATCTACCATCTCATGATCACCGCTTCCCAGGTTGTCACCCACCTCTACTTCCCCTACTAGTTCCTCCCTGTTTGTAAGCATCAGGTCAAGCTGTGCATGGCCCCTGGTCGGTTCCTTCAGCACTTGTACCAAGAAGTTATCCCCAGCATTCTCCAAAAACTTCCTGGATTTTCTGTGTACTGCTGTATTGGTCTCCCAACAGATGTCAGGATGATTAAAGTCCCCCATGAGAACCAGGGCCTATGATCTGAAAGCTTCTCTCAGTTGTCTGAAGAAAGCCTCAAACCTCATCAACCTGATCCGGTGGTCTACAGCATGGTCTCCTCTCTTGACTTGAAGTGACATGGCACATTATGTGTAAACCAGGGCATGAAGCATCTAAACTACAGTTTACATGAGGCATCTCAGCAGCTCAAAATGGCACAAAATGAAATGTTTCAATTTGGCTTTAAAAGTGGAAGAGTTTCAATTCAGCACAACCTGACCAAATAGCAAAACATATAAATGGATTTGGAGCTTGGTTTCAGAATCTGCATTTTCCACTGAAGAAACGTTTTGATCGAAAATTCCTGACCCACTGTAATATCTACCTTATGTACAAGGATGCCCATGTGTGGCACTTCCTCGGGTTTGCCTTCTTACCTGATGGGAATGTTGTTACGTGTCCAGGTAATTTCTGGCTCAGGGTAGGAGTCCACCACACACATGAACTTGGCGACCTCTTCTACTAAGGCATCCACGGTTTCCAGGGGAGTGTGGATAAGCGGAGCTACAGAAGGAAGGGGAGAAAACATGCCACTTCACTCTTGGGTTTCTTCTGCTAAATCATCAAACTGCCTGGTGAATTCACAGGCACAAACCAATGAGACTGTTCTGCTGTGCAACGTATGTGGCGCCACATTCCCAGCAGGGTCATCTCCTGACCCCTTCCCTTGCGTTCAGTAATTCTCTGACATGGAACTAGGCCATTTATAACTGACCAGCGGCTGGCAATTCTCTGCACCCCTACACTGGTGAGTCGGCATTTTCCTCCAATGCACACGGGGCTTCCTGCACCAGCACAGCTGAAGTGAGGGGCCCATGGGCATTTTCCAATTTCTTGATCATGTTTTTCCTAACTCTCAAAGGGTTAGATCATGAAGTTATCCCAGCATGGTCTGATTCAAAGAGTCCAGTTCAGCCTCTGCTTCTCCCTCCATGCCCACTTAGCTGCACAGGGAGGGAGAAGCAGAGGCTGAACTGGACTCTTTGGGAGGGGGATCAGATCCCAGGCTCTGCCCGCTACCTATCTATACAAGGGGGACAAGTGGCCTCTGCAGCCGTTGCTCATCTTTGTGTGGACTAGCAATGCTGGGTCTATATATGGGAATAAGGGGACTCCTTGACTTGCCTGTCTGAGTGTGTAAGGTGACTTGCCACTTATACCCCCAAAAAAGCAAGATACAGGAGTCCTTGTCATTAATACAGACTGATTCAGTTCCACTGTATTTCTTGGTTTTAACAAACATGGAATACAATTTCTGGCATTTACATTTATTGTCAAGTACTCATCATCAAATGAAATACCTCTATCTTTGGAAGGGCATTTTCCATGCCAGTTGGTAAAAGCCGGAGCATAGTTGTTAGAGATCAAAGAGGACCTCTCAATTATTTTCCCCTCCGCTTGGTGATCACAGGAACGGAAGATGCATAATCAGTTCCTCTCAATGTATGTCTGGCAGAGACATACATTCTGTACTAGGTACACGGGATTTCACTGACCGTGGATGCTCTGCTGTGAAATACTGCAGTGAACTTGAAGGAGTGGCAAGAAAAATCCCAGGAACCTTTAAACACCGCAAAGAAAATGACCCTGCCTATACATAAATTACTAAATAGACAGACTCTGTTTACTGCAGAGATGTCTGGTACATGTTGATGTCTCTTCATGGAAAAATCTTGCCTGAACTATGTCGTCTTCTTCTCTAGCCAATCCAATCTGTATTACATATTCCTGGGCATTACAATACACCCAAGCCATCTGGTGATGTGAGACACTCCAGTATAAACGAGACAGAAAATTGATATGGTATAGTATAGAATTTGTGCCTGACTCTTTTCTCATTTACCTGGGTGTACAATAACATTCTGTTGGAGTTATGGATGCAGTTCAGTTGGAGTAAAATTGGGATAACAACGAGAAGAATCAGATGCTTCATACTAATGTTACCTCTCAGGTTCACAGTATTGTACAGCACGTTTCAAAACTGCTACTAAGACAAGCGCATGCTAATAAAATTTCTGTTCAGGATAACTGCACACACACTACTCATAGTAGTCAGTAATTACATATATGTGAAGAACAAATCATAGTTCTGGAACAAAAATAAATGAGAGAGTAGCATCAGGTTATCATTTAGAAGCACTGCTTTAAAGGATGCAGGGTGTTTAGTACAGGATAAGAAGTCTCTCTTCTACAATGGTAGCAACTGATACAATTGGAGTACGATTTGTGGGCTGTGCCACCATTTTGTTTCTGCTAAAGAGAGCTCCCTAAAATGGCAGTGACTGGTGCTTATTTAGACATTGACATAAAAAAAGTTCTAATGTTGATAAGAACCAGTGCTTTCTCAGCCCGAAAACTCACACTGGCCCATATTGCCAATTTTTAAATCGGTTGAGAAAGACGCACAGTTCATCGCGCCAAAGTTTGAGAAACTGCCAAGACTTGAGTGTGCTGGAGAAAATAGATCAGGATAATGCCTGTGACATGTTTAGGTATCATTATGATTTTAAATAGAATCACAAGACATGTAACCTCTCCATCATTAAGGCCATTCAGGTGGCATTTTCCTGGACATCAACTGTAAGTTCAGGAAGTAGCAAAAGGATTCAAGGTCAATATTAAATTTTGCTAGTGTTCATTACTGAGGGTACATCTACACAGCAGGGCTAAACTCAAAATAAGCTACGCAACTTGAGCTACACAATTGCGTAGCTTAAATCAAAATCGCTTATTTTAAATTTAGGCACGTCTTCACAGAACTTATTTCGAAATAGAGCACTCTTCCTCCAACTTCCCTTAATCCTTGTAAAAAGAGGGTTACAGGAATTGGAGTAAGAAGTCCTCCAATTGGACATTGTGTGTAGACCTGAACTTTGTTATTTCAAAATAACGTTATTTGCTCCGAAATAACAGTGCTATGTAGACGTATCCTTAGTGTTCTAAGTTCAGTCCATCAGAGTGTACTGGATTGTGGAGAGGGGGTTTACTTTTAATCTAAACGTTTTTAAACCAACAAAGTAAACAGAAAAATAAAATTTACGCCCATTCCAGCTGTGTAGACTCTTAGAAATAGTGAAACATCTCTAACTATGAACTACTCTTGTGCATATCTCTGACCATTACTGGTCCAGCTTTGCTGCAAAAACCATATGACTTTGTGGTCTTATCAGCACACTTGGTTGCCTTCATGAACATGAACATGACATTTAGCTTTCTTAAAAAGAAAATCTTGTGCAGATGTTTCATGAAAGGGTAGGTATCGGAAAAATCACTTCTATCTCTCTTTGTTTACTTGTTTCTCTAGTCTTGCTACTATCTACCATGCACCTCCCAAGCCTCATTTACTGTTGCTGCCTTAACACAATACCTTGGGTTCAATTTCCATGTCAATAAATTTGGAAAGCAAGTGAAACAGTCTGATCACTGACTGTATGTATTCATCTTGACTTGGGCAAAGCTACTGGCATAACACTGACTAACAGCTTCTTCTTGGTCCATATTCCCTTTCCCAAGAGTTCATGGTATATTTTAATTCAGTTCTAATAACCAATATGAGAAGAAGAAAGCCTTCATTTAGCTGATAGTTTGGTTCTCATATGGTAAATCTTCGGTTTCCATTACATAAAGTTGCATCTCTCAGAATCTTCTGAACAGATTTTTTAGACTTTCATATGGGGAACTAATTATGAGTTGTGTGTGTGTGTGTGTGTGTGCGTGTGTGTGTGTGTGTGTGTGTGTGTATATAATACCAATGATATGTAAATAATATACATAAAGTATATGTGTTTGTATATATTTATATGTGCAGTTATATATTAATATGAACACATTATGAATACATATGTGATACACACACACGTGTATCATAAAACTTTTGACCCTAACAAAAGTATGCAAGTTAGTAGCTAAGCCTTAGTAGCTTGATTTGATATGACAAACACCCATCCCACACAAACTGGACTCAAAGAACTTCCTTGTCTATTATAGTGACATTAAGTGCTATTTGTAAACAAACAATCTTAGATAGATATGCAGGATTATTTCATCATTAGCTGCTAAAGACAACAAATGACCAGCTTAGTAAATAGTCAAATTAATACCATTTTTACCAAAGACATAAAGGATGCAACTTAAAATTCTAAATTGTCCTTATAAAAATTCCTTAATCAGTGACAAATATGAAGAGAAGATGAAGGCTGTTTAAACAAACCTTTTGGAAGTTTTTCAGCCACGCTGAAGGCCACCAGGGTGAAGATATGTACAAGTGGAATGTGTAATAAGTCTTTCATGGTTAATCCAGAATCATATGCAGCTCCTTTAGGTAAATGCACTGAGTTCCCTGCCAGTTTCATTTTAAACCATACAAAGTTTGTTACAAAGTGCCCCAGCTAATGGACTCTGCTATGGAGTGTATGGGATCTAAGTATAATCAGGAATTCTCGGACGTGGCTACAGTGATGGACGTGGCCAGCTGGTATGCATCCACTTAAGTCAGTACGATAACATGGGGCTCATGAAACAAGAGAAAGTGAATCCCTTTAGAATTCCTTTTGAGCAAAGATCATGGACTACAATGGCCGAATGCCTTTCCAAAACAATAACCAGACTGAACAGAGTGCAAATTGTCAGGCCTTTATCCCAGACCAAGGTAAAAACACTAGTAGAACTCATGTTTGTCATTGACATGTATTTTCTTTCAACTTGGTCCTTTCTTTTTTCCCTTCTCTCTTTGTCTCTTGCTTGTCATAATCCCTGATGAATAGCTGAAATATACCACCTGTTCCACTGCTGATTGTGCTTTGCTTTTGCTTAGTAGATACATCTGCCAGAGCACAAGATGTCTGACTCTGGGAACTGAAATCTGGTCTTGTTTATCAAGGAGACTGTCAATTTTTCAGATTTGTTGCAGCAGACTGAGAAAGCAGCATCATGTCCTGCAAATAGACTCTTGAACCCATACAAGCGCTGGCAAAATGAAAGATTAACAGTGATCGGGAATGTTGCTCAATTTCTTCTCTGGAGGATCAAGTGTATTTCACTGTAATCTCAGCAAGAGCGTGGTAAATTCAGGCAACAGTTGATCTAGTCATTTTATGAACTGTACATGTTAAATCTAGGCATGATTATCTCAGTGATTTCTTATTATTGTCCAAGTCTCTATTGAAAAACAAGACACATTTTCAAGGGGGCCTCAATCCAACACCTACACATGCACCCAATTTTATTGTATGTTAGCAGACTTATTCAGCATTGCCCGGGTCTTTCAGGGCACAGCCTTGGGTATGTGGAGGGGGACAGGAGGCCGGAGGGGGGGGTTAAAAGCATGTTTTCTCCCCCCAGTTTCCCTACTCTCCCAAGGCCTGTTCTCCTTAACCCCATGCCACCTCCCCAGCCTGCCCAGGGCCTGTTCTCTCCCCCTTAGGACACCTCCACAAGACGCAAGGACTTGTTCTCGCCCCACCCCCAGAACACACCCCAGGAGGGCTACTTACTGGTGTGTTGGCAGGCAGGATGGCGGAGCCCCTGCCCTGAGGGTCACTCCCATGGTGATACGACTGCCCCCAGAGGACACACTGCAGGACAGCTCTGCCCTGTGGTCTCACTGCCCCCAATAGACATTCTTATATCACGTCCTTCTGAAAGCAGACCCTTCCTCTGTAGGTTATGGGAAACTGTCCCTTTTCCAGGGCTTCCATTTGTCCTGACCTTGCTTTACATTAGGAGAAGAGGAAGCTGCATACCAAATTCGGTGGCCCTTGCTCTCACCGTTTAGGAGGAGTTCTTGAACAAACAGTCTTGCAGACAGACAAACTGATACACTCTAATATATATTTCTATCTATCTATCTATCTATGGGTATGTCTACACTAGCTTGTTAGTTCGAGCTAGGTAGGCAAATGAGGGCAACCGGAGTTGCAAATGAAGCCCTGGATTTAAATATCCCAGACTTCATTTGCATGTTCCCAGGTGCCGCCATTTTTAATTCCCCCTTAGTCTGAACTCCGTGCCCGCAGCTACACGCGGCAGAAGCTTTTTGCAGAAGCGCATTGCAAAAACGATGTGCTTTTGCACAAGACAGTGTCCACACTGCATAGACGCTCTTGCGCAAGAAAGTTCTGATTATCATTCACAGAATGGCCATCAGAGCACCTGTGCTTTTTCTGATAGGCTCTTTTTGTGCAAGAAACCCCTGTTGAGCATCCACACACACCTTTTTGAGCTAGAACTCTTGCGCAAAAAGGAGTTATTCCTTGCAGAAAGAGGTGTACCTACACCACAAAAAGCCCTCTTTTCTGCCATTCTCCTGTACATTTTCTTGCGCAAAAACGTGCTTGAGGTGTGGATGTTCTGAGGGTATTTGCACAAAAACCCTGTAGTGTAGACGTAGCCTGAGGGAAGAAGATTCACATGCTGCATTTGAGTATAGCTGTCAGTGCCCTGTTCCTATAAAGCACATAACTAAAATAAGAGTCTCTCTTTGTTCCCTGGCAGATCACTATAGAATAACCCTTTACTATGCATGGGTCGCCTTCAACTGGGAGACTTCCCATTTCTTTTCAGTGAAGTACCAGCTTGCCAGGAGTTAACCTTGCACTGCTGAAAATCTTACAGCCTGGTTATCCTCAGCGACAGTGCCACAGGCAGCCATAGCTGTGTTTCTGAGCAGCTGGTGGTGGTCTTGATTTCTCTACAGAGTGACACCCCAAGCAGGTGCATAAAGTCTTGTTGTTCACTCTTCTCTAGTTTCAGCTCCTCTGACTTTAAATGTAATAAGAGGATTGTAAACTCCTGGGTCACTATGCCCATTGATTTATGAAACCTTCACTCTGTCACATGGTGCAACGGCTCAATGAGTGAGAAATTTGAGACACATTTAGAAATATTTTGGAGGGCCCGCATGGAAGTCAGGCAAGTTTACCCAACTTCTTACACTTCTGGTGGGGCAGGGGAACATCCCAGTGCATTCCCATTTGGCAAAATAAACCCTTGTATGGAAATGGAGCTACGTGGCCCATTACTAACTGAAGTAGAATGGATTTTATTATATGGAATCTTAAACAGACTAGAAGATGCAATCTGATGCATGTGACTCCAAGGCATAACAAGAAAACCATGTATTAAAACCTGAAGACTGAAAATTCGCATAAAGTCTCTCATTGTAAAGTAGAATGCTTGTGTGTCTAACACAGTGATACTCACAGTTCTGTGATTTGGAAGCCACCTTTGCACAATTGCAGTAGCTCTGGTGCAATAACACTTTTGGTATTCACAGATTATCTCAATTTTTCAGTAAGTGGTGGAAGAACAGCACCTGAGGACAGGAAACCGTGAGTTAGGAGGAGGTCTGCGAGACCCCAGTTTTAATGATATCCTGTATTTGGGGCATTCTGCCTCTTGTCCTGCGTCGAGGCTTTATACAATGCACTTGACTGTGGCTTTTTGGCAATAACCTTGCAAAGGAAAATACTTTGACTCACATGCAAGATTTTGCACTGTGAATAAAACATTGTGCACTCCTGACCCATATTCATAAGCTTTGCCCTGGCTTTCCCACTCAGCACTTGTTTATTTCCTTAAGGTACCTACTCTCTGGTGAGGTCATTCATTTTCAACAGGAGTAACAGTGCAGTACTTTGGGGGTATGTGCAGCCATTTTAAAAAATCATTACCAGGGCTGATATTTGTATTAAAACAGATGTTCCAAGTTATCCCTGTGCATCCCCTTTCCATACACCTGCCAATTGCATTTCCTTCCTTCCCCTACAGCATGTAGGACATGATCTAAATCCCAGTTATGTCTATAGGAGCCTTTCTAACTGCAGTCGGTTTTGCATAAGGCCCTTGGAGCCTGGCTGTGGTAAACCAATATGACTTCATTCATATTAATGCAATTAAGCCGCACTAAGCTAAGTCAATTATCTGTCCCTGCAAGGTCCATTGTCTTGGGAGAGTGTCATAGTCCTGATCTTTATGTGTGGTGGGGGTACCAACCTCACACCAGAGAGGAAGGGGTTATGAAGTTGCAGCTGCCCCTGCACATTATGTCAGGAGCAGATGAAAAGTTCAAAAGGGGAGCGGCCAGTAGGATAGTTCCTGGTGCCTGGGCAGGCTGAGGGGGGACACATGGGGATAGACAGCAGTACATGCCTTTCCTGTGGATGGTCCAAGCATCCCGAAATGAAGGTAGTAGGCTCTTTGTGAACACTGGGCTGTACTGTGGCTTGGCCTGTGAAATAAGAGAGGCCAGTGACTTGTTTTCTGGGACTGGCTATTTGTTTCCTTTTCTTTTTTCTTAGCACCTTTGCTCTTTTCCTTCTTTCCTCATACCCTCGAACGAGGAACTCAGCCAAAGGCTGGCATTCTGTCCCTGGGGCTATGACTAGACTGCAGCACTTTTCTGGGATACCAGAGGTATCCCAGGAAAACAATACCGCATCCAAGGAGCGCATCCACTTTTCAAAAAAAAAAAAAACGGAAAAACCAGCATGCTCTTTTGCCACCCCTGTAAACCTCATTCTACGAGGCATAAGGGATGTGTCAAAAGAGGAAGTTTTCCCAAAATTTGATGCCTCTTTTGAAAGAAAAGCAGAAAAAGAGAAGCAAATTGCGAACGACAGTTTTTTCCGACTTTTCTTTGTAGTCTAGATGTAGCCTGGGTGACCAGCTGCCCCAGGATGGATGGTCAGAAAGTGAGTGAGTGCATAACCCTATTCCACCCCATGGGGGTTCTGCAGAGGGAGTAGGATAGTGATGTTAAAGGCATTGTGGATGCTTGTGTGATGTATTCAAAGAACTGGTTGGAAAACAGGCTTTTTCATGGAAAGTTTTTGACCACAATGAAATAAATAGCGTTTTCTCCAAATTGTCCATGGAAAACATCTGTTTAAAAAAGTGCATATAGAAAAAAAAACCCCTCAACTGCAAGCCAAAATATTCTGGCCAAACAGCAAAAATATTTTGATTCAGAAAAGCTGCTGTGGTGCCTCAGGGAGTTGTAATTCAAATGCCTAATGTCTCATGAGGCTCCATAATCTCTCCTCTTGGAAGGGGGAGGCAGTTCATCATGAGAGTCCCTGGCCACGTGCATCATGGTAGTTGTAGTACGTCAGAGGCGCCAAGCCCATGGAAGAGAATGTAGTCAAGAGGCAACTGAACTACAACTCCCATGAGACACAGCATCAGCATTTACTAATTGAAATGTTTCGTTTTTCAGGTTGGGGGGGGAGAAAAGGTTGGGCAAAAAGGCTCAAAATTTTCTGTTGAAAGCTGACACCTTTCACAAACATTTTAGTTTAATTAAAACATTTTGATGGAGAATTTTCAACTAGCCACAGTCAACTGTATAATAAAAACAAATATTGCACCTTAGCACTTACTATACTGTTTTCCATCTCAAATTTACCTCCAGCACAGGAAAATAAAACTGACCTCAATGGATCAAATTTTTCCCTGTTGCTTTGCACTCCCTGGTAGGGTTGCCAGGTGTCCGGTATTCACCTGGACAGTCTGGTATTTTCAGCTCCTGTTTGGTAAAAAAAAATTCAGAGATGTCTGAAACACCTGAGATGTCCGGTATTTTCTGAATTTTTCCCCAGCCAAGAGGCAAAATTGCCGGGCACCTGGCAACCCTACAAACACTCAGTGCCTGGCCTCTCCACCATGCCCCCCGGGTCTTAGTGCTTCCCCTGGGTCTTAGAGCTCAACCGCGCCCCTGATCCTAACCCTGCACTAACTCTTAAAGGGGACATGCTGTTTTAATGCTGCTTTATTTTAATTTTTTTTTGGCTTACTTGGAATCCTTTATTTTTTTTTCATCAACTTTGGTCTCCCCCCCCACACTTTTCCCCCCCCCCCTGGGTTTTTTTTGGGGGGGGGGGGGGGGAAGATGTTCGGTATTTTTGTTTCAACCATCTGGCAACCCTATTTGCTATTCTTCACACTATAAAGGTGTCAATCAGAGTCACGCAAAATATTTACAGATCAGCATGGAAGCTCAGACAAGTCACAGCTTTTAGGGTTTGTTATAACCTATAAATCCAGACTAGGCTTTTCAAAAAGCTACCTAACACGCACATGGCCAGTTTTTAAAATGTATTTTGGTGTCTAAAGATACAAATAGTTGTAGTGGGATTTTCTCAAATTCCGACCTCCCACAATGAGAGCTAGGCACCTATGCACTTTTTTGTAAACTCCCTTTAGCATCTATCTGCATCTTTAGGAGGCAAATAGCTTTTATATTTGGCCTTTTAGAAGAAGCTTGTGAACAGTTTTGGGAGAACATGGGCTGATTTCTGGGGGTGCCTCAAAATCTTGTGAAATGGGCAGTTTCTTGAAGTGACGCCCTCTCACTTTCACTATGTTTCACCTTGAGATTTTGAGTTAATTGTAACTCAAACGCAAACAGAGGTGATGTGAATCCTGGCTGAACAAAACCAGAGGGGGAAAAATGGCACAGAACAACCAGGATTTGCACAGCTCCGCTGCTCATGTGTTACAATGGTGTTTTTCAGGGAGCATCCAAGATATTTTTATTGTCTCAATTATGTTTATGCTTGGAGATGGAGAAGTAACACTGCACTCTTAATAACAGAAAGCGAGAAATACAAATATGAAAGCATTGCTGTGAGTTAAAAAAAAAGAGCTCTCTTTGTAGGAGTCCTTCTTGTACAATGTGGTAAGTGTTGATGGACTTCTAGACTCACCTGTCGCGAGAACCACAGGTCTGATGATGCATAGCCAAGGGGGGGAAGGACAGAACCAGGTGGACCGTTTTAGCAAATAAAATATATTTATTTATGACAGTGAGGAATTGATAGCATTTATTCTAAGATTTTTAATAGACCGTGTTAATAATGAATTTACAGTATTTATTATATTTATTCTATGATTTCTAGTTAAACGTGTCAGAAATATAAGAATGGAATGGCAAGGGGAATAGTCTCTATTCTAAAGATATCCAGCTATACTGATTAAATAACAGTGATAACTACAAACTCTATGTACTACCCAAAACAACTACAACACTAAGCTTATACAACAAAGAAAATCAAATCATACATACCAACTTACACAGCACACGGAACATTTCAAAGATATCGGTTCGATTGCGAAGGCCTTGGTTACTTCCAAGAGTCGGGGGAGGTGGCTGATCGGTTGATCAGGCCGGCAGCGCTTTGAAGCATACGAGAAGGCACACGCATGGTGGTACGTGTGTTGCGAAGACCTCCTCGAGCGAACTGTGCGATGGGTATTCATCCCCAAATCTGCACATCGCTTTCCCGCGCTTGCATATTGCCATATACGGCCCAACGGTCACCAAGTGGGGGTTCTGTGTCACCGGCTGGGCCGAAACTGTGCAGGCTTCATTCGGTTCTCACGCCAAGGTGACGGGTGGGAGAATCTAAAGTTATTTTCCCCTTTTCACACCTTCCCTTTTTCTAAAGGCAATGGTATGCAGGAAGGGTGCGGCCAGTTTCACCCAAGGAGTACTGCAGCCCACTATAGCAAGAGCAGCCTGGCCAAACTTTTTACTGGGGGGGCAGTTTTTTTCTAACATCACCCACATGGCTAACTGATATTTCTCTCTTCTACAGCAACACTTCAAATGGAATCAGGGACCGAGGTGCACGTATTCTTAACAAGGTGAAGGCAGAGCTGTCACAAGCCAGAGGAGAATGCTTGGGTAGCTGGTTGTGTAAAGGCGCTAACACCTAATTACCACAAACAAAATCCCCTCAAGCTGGAGGCAGGGAGTAACAAGGTGACTTACAGCCCTGGGAACCCCAAGAACCATCAAACATCTTTAAGCAAAATGAACCTTCTTGAGGAGACACGTAACAACTCCCGTAGCTTTGTGATGACAAGGGCGGCAGCACCCTGTCCCAACAGGCACATGATGGGTGAGTAATGCTGGGCTTCATTTCCCAAAATAGTTTAATATGAAATCATAGTAAACTGTGCTGCTAAGTGATTCTCCTGCTGCAAGCCTTCAACAGAGGATTTGTCATAATATTTGTCTCTTCTGAGAGACCTTTGCAGTGTCTTGGCAAATACAAAAGCATTGGGCCTCATTCATCCCTGGTGTAATTGCACAGATTCCAGTGGAATTACATGAGGGCTGATTTTTCCCTCTCCAGCTTTTAATATGCTCCAGCTGCAGAGAGTGGTGCGTGGCGTGCATGTCTGTGTAGCAGAAGGGGACTTCCCAGTGGCAGATTGATAATTTATATGTCCTCTGGTGCATAGGCCACTTCTGTCAAACAGTTCACAAGTCCCTGGCTCGCCATCTGTTATCTGGAATCATGGGGCTCCATCTTTGAGAGAATCCTTCTAGGGAACATGCGACCAAGTCAGCTATGATGACATGTCGGTTTGGAAAAGTGATGATGAGATTGATCAGATTTTCTGCATGAGCACTGAGGAATCCTACCAGTTTGTAAAATCATCAGCATAGGAACGAAGTATATAGTAAGGTTGTTAACGCACGATTAATTTACTGGTCGAATAGTCGATGGAATTTCCAGCCCAGTGGGAGCTCTTGTGCATTTAAAAGTTGGAACGCTTCATGGAGCCCAGGGCCAGCAGGAAGTCCAGCTGACTCGGGGCTCCACATGGGCACTTCTGCTTTGAAATGCACAAGAGCCCCTATTGGGGACTCTTGTACTTTACAAAGCTGGCACTCCTGGGCTCCAAGCTGCTTTGAAATGCCATGTGGAGCCCGGGGTCAACTGGGGATTCCTCAGCTGACCCCAGGTTCAGTGCACGCTGCTGCTTTGAAATGCCGGGTGGAGCCCAGGATGAACTCCCCAGGTTCCACAAGGCATTTCAAAGAGGCAGCGTCGCTTGGAGTCTGGGATCAGCTACACCCCCGCTGATCCCAGACTCCCTGCGCCGATGCGCCGCTGCCGCTTTTAGGTACCTCCCTCTTCTCCCCACCCTTTCCTGCCTCTATCTGTTATCTGGAATCATGGGGCTCCATCTTTGAGAGAATCCTTCTAGGGAACATGCGACCAAGTCAGCTATGATGGCATGTGGGTTTGGAAAAGTGACGATGAGATTGATCAGATTTTCTATCTGATCCTCTCTGATAGAGGCAGAAAAGGAGACAGGGGGAACAACTAGTCGACTATCCTGTCTACTATCTGATAAGCATTTTCTTATTGGATACTTGACTAGTCGACTAGTCCTTTACATCCCTAGTGTATAGGTCTTAGGGATACCACTTTAATGGCAGAGCTGCTATCACAGCGTGACATGAGTAAGTGTTGTGGATAACAAAAAATTACCTCTGAAGACAGGACAAGAAGCAATGGGCTTAAATTGCAGCAAGGGGGATTTAAGTTGTCTATTAAAAAAAAACTCCCCACCTATCAGGGGGTATGTCTACACCACCCTCCTAATTCGAACTAGGAGGATAATGTAGGCATACCGCACTTGCAAATGAAGCCCGGGATTTGAATTTCCTGGGCTTCATTTGCATAAGCCGGGCGCCGCCATTTTTAAATCCCGGCTGGTTCGAGCCCCGTGCTGCGCAGCTACACGCGGCACGGACTAGGTAGTTCGGACTAGGCTTCCTAGTCCGAACTACCGTTACTCCTCATTCCACGAGGAGTAACTGTAGTTCGAACTAGGAAGCCTAGTCCGAACTACCTAGTCCGTGCCGCGTGTAGCTGCGCGGCACAGGGTTCGAACCAGCCGGGATTTAAAAATGGCGGCACCCGGCAAGATGCAAATGAAGCCCGGGAAATTTAAATCCCGGGCTTCATTTGCAAGTGCGGTATGCCTACATTACCCTCCTAGTTCGAATTAGGAGGGTAGTGTAGACATACCCAGGGTGGTTAAGCACTGGAGTAAATTGCCTGGGGAGGCTGTGGAATCTCCATACTGGGTGGTATTTAAGAGCAGGTTAGACACCTGTCAGGGATGTTCTAGAGCAGTGATCTCAAACCCATTGATTGCGATTGACGGGGCAGTTGCGGTGTCTCCATCAGGCAATCTCTGGGTTCCCTCTGAACTGCGCAGCTGTGCACAAGAAGTTTTAGATCCACCCTGCTCATTTGCAGAGCCGTGCAGCAGCACTCACCAACATTTGCTTTCCTGCTGGAACAAAAGGTGAGTGGTAGTAGAGGTGGCTTGATGGGTTCTGGTCAGGCCACGTGGTAGCAGGCGGCTGCCCCCCTTTGCTCTGGCTGGAGCCAGGGTGTGGTGAGCCTGTCCCTGCTGGGTTCCAGTTCCAGCAGACCTTATACTGACTGGCAGAGAGAAGTGTACATTTGCCTGTTTTTGACCTCTTGCTTTCATGATTTCTTTGTGCATGCTTGTGCAATAACAACAATCATATGCACAAATCCCATATGCAGCCCCAAATCCCCAACTTATTTGGGTAAACAATTTGCAACATTTTTATCCTAGCAATCATACAAGGAATTTGAACTTTATGCAAGAAGAGACAGGTAGATAATTAAGGATCTTTAGAAATAAAGGAGGGGAGAGCTTAGAAGGCAAATAGTAAAGTGAATACAAAATGTTGGCTGCTCAGAGTTGGATAGAGTGATGAGAGTCATTGTGAAGAAGATGTGTAATGTATAATTATAAATACTTGACTTTAGGTTTATACAGCATGAATTAAAATTAAAAATAGACTATTTATTCTACGACATTGTCTAAGGAGTAGATCTTGGGTTGCACGTAAATTCAAAAAATGACCTTCGGCTGAAAAAGGTTGGTGGCCACTGATCTAGATGGTGCTTGATCCTGCCATGAGGGGAGGGGAATGAACTTGATGACTCCTCAAAGTCTCTTCTAGTTTTTGTATTTGTATTGTATGATTGTATGCTTCTATGACAGCAATATATTTCTTCCAAACTCCTTAAATGTTGTTATAGGGAAAAAAAGGAACCAGATGCAGATAGTTGGAAATCTAATCAGTCAGTATTTCTGAATACCTAGCAGCCAAGGAATGCTGGAAACAAAATATTAGATCTATCCTGGATCAAGAGCAATGGAACAAAACTATAAAACTTCTTATATACATTTCAAGGCTCCTCCCTGCATGGAGCATCAAGACTAGGGGAGACAATGGTTCATTGCATGGGGCTATAGAATGGAGATCCTTCAGTAGGACATTGTTATGCTGATGGGGAAAAAAGGATTTCTTTCATTCCCAGTCATTAGGCTAGAAAATTGTTATGTGTGAGGAGGGGAAATAGGGAATGATATGTTCCCACTTTATTACCTCCACCAGTTATACCTATGACCACATCTACATTAGACCTGGAAGGTCGGGTTAAGGCACGCAACTTCAGCTACATAAAATTCATAGGTGGAGTTGGCTTATCATAAGTTGAGTTCCTGTTGACTTCCCTTACTCCTCACGACTGCCAGGAGTACATGCTCTGGGTGGAGCTGCCCTCAGGTCATGCAGGTCATAACTAGGCTGACTAAATCAAATGCCAGAAGAACAGTCTCTGCTAGTAGAAAAAACAGGACTATGTAGCACTTTAAAGACTAACAAGATGGTTTATTAGGTGATGAGCTTTTGTGGGCCAGACCCACTTCCTCAGATCAAACAGTGGAAGAAAATTGGCACAACCATATATACCAAAGGATACAATAAAAAAAATGAACACATATGAAAAGGACAAATCAAATTTCAGAACAGAAGAGGGATGAGAGGGGGAGGTAAATGTCTGTGAGCTAATGATATTAGAGGTGATAATTGGGGAAGCTATCTTTGTAATGGGTAAGATAATTAATGTCTTTGTTTAGACCTAGGTGAAAAGTGTTGAATTTAAATATGAATGACAGTTCAGAGGATTCTCTTTCAAGTCTGGTGTTAAAAGCTCTTTGAAGCAGAATGCAGGTAATCAAGTCGTTGAGACAATGCCCTTTCTGGCTGAAATGGCAAGAAACTGTTTTTTCTTTGTGATCCTGTCTAATATCTGTTTTGTGGGCATTGATTCTTTGGCAAAGTGTCTGAGACGTTTGTCCAATGTACATAGCAGACGGACACTTTCGGCACACGATAGCATAGATTATATTTCTGGATGAGCAGGAATATGTCTGCAAGATCTCCTCTCCCACACATCTTCAGCAAGCACACTTCCTAGCAGTGTCTTTGCCAAAGGCTATATCTACACTACACTGATCTATCGGCCCGCAATTTGAGTACCTTTTTCCGATAGCTTTTTTAGAAGAGGCTTTTCCGAAATTTAGCCCCTCTACACTGGGCCAAATTTTGGAAAAGCCTCCTCTTTTGAAAGAGCCCTTCTTCCTCATGGGAAGAGGAAGACAGGGTTTCCAAAACAGCATGTTTGCTTTTCCACACAAAAAAGTAGAATCATAGAACCATAGAGCTGGAAGAGACCTCAGAAGGTCATCAAGTCCAGCCCCCTGCTCTAGGCAGGATCAATCCCAACTAAATCAACCCGGCCAGAGCTTTGTCAAGCTGAGACTTAAACACCTCTAGGGATGGAGACTCCACTACCTCCCTAGGTAACCCATTCCAGTGCTTCACTACCCTCCTAGAGAAATAGTTTTTCCTAATATCCAACCTGGACCTCTCCCACCACAACTTGAAACCATAGCTCCTTGTTCTGCCATCTGTCACTACTGAGAACAGCCTTTCTCCATCCTCTTTGGAACCTCCCTTCAGGAAGTTGAAGGCTGCTATCAAATC